TGCCGCTGGGCGTTATCGAGTCGCAGGCGTGCACTGGGCGACGCTGCGTGCGACCACTGAACGCGTACTGGACTGGCTAAACGTTCGGCGTGCGCACTACTGACTGCTGGCTGTTACCGCGAGTGGCTAAGTGCCGCGGCTCGCGGGCAGGCGCATGCACTGGCAGTCGGCGCTGCCTGTCTGCCAACACGCTGCTGCCGCTACGTGCGGCAACGCGTCCATAACCGGCTTTCACCAGCCATCCGGTGAATACCTTCGGCAACCACGACATCAAACAACATGACATGACATAATATGAACATGGTTATGGAAATAACTTGAAAATAGCACTCTTCGCACGATCAACTGAACGGGACCGAGGCGAGCGCGCCGTGCGCCGCCGACGGCGATAGGCCGTCTCTCGACCAAAACACCTTTTCCCTCGGCAACTCCCGACCAAATAAACATGAAACATTATTTAAAGGCTATTAAGACGCAATCACATGAGAGAACGTGACCATCACTAAAAATAACAGAACGTGACTTGATGTCGCCCGTGGCTACGCGCGATGAGCGCTAGCGACGACTTTGGGCCATTTCACATAAAAACAACTTTTTTCCTCGACCATCCTCGAGTGACTGAACATAAAATAAGATAAACTGATTATTTAAACATAAATGGTTCGTGAGTTGCCGGGTAAAACAAGAAGTTACTCAATCACGGTTCAACTTAGGCATATTCGAACTTTAACACGGCAATATTATAACCTCTTGAACATGAGTCGAACACTTCAGCTTAAAACGAACTCATGGCCATAAAAATATGTCGAGGATGACGATACCTTCTTAAGTACTCGTCGGAATATCGAAATCGCTCGAGACCTTGCTTGTACGTGCCGGTGCGATAGCCTATTGCCGTGCGATGCTATTACTTGACGTGCCTCTACTAACCGTGCGATGAGTATGGAAATCTTATGATAATATGCTAAGTTATTTGGTGCTGAATTTAGGGACTAAGGCTGCTGATATACGGCTGCATATATGTGGTAAAGGTGGAGAAATTTTCCAAATCTTATGCTATTTATAAAGAAGGCCGAGAGAGACATGATGATGTAGGTGATTTGTGGCCTTCTATTAACCTTACACTTGCCAACTAATGACCTCAAGATGGATGACTAATCTCCCCCCTTTAAGTCCTACTAAGGCCACGTGTCCATAATAAAATAGGAAGGAATTGATTCTTAAGACTTAAGAAAAATTTTGATGAAATTTGGAAATTTAATACATGTCAATACGGCTATTGAAACCCATTAGGGGGCAACTCTAATTTCTTACGGCTTTTAGGAATTTGGAATAAAAATTCCATACAACTTAACCTTAGCTAATGTGATTAATTAGGAATTAATCACTTAATTATGTTTAATTATTCAATTAAACATAA